AATCACACTTTAATTATGAACGAATAGTATGTCTGTTCTCATCTTTTTTTTATAGTAATTAATAATTCTTCTGTTTTTATGTTTGCTGTTCCTTATTGACGGTCTTTCTAAAACGGCAGAAATTATATCTTCCGACGATATTTTGAAATTTGATTGCTCGAAAAATAGGAATGGGTAATTAATAAGACGACACTATGACTATTCGAACGCGCATTCGTCGCTCGACTAGAGTGCGACGCTTGTGTACCGCCGCCCGCACTGCTGCCGTCGAGAACAACATAATGCAAACTAAGGCATTTTGGTCAAATCGCGCAAGCCGCCACCCGCATCGCTGTCGCCACCGCGTCGCCGCCCGCTTTCCGTTTAGTTTGTAAACTAAGCGTAGCAAATTAGGGGATCAATGCGGTTTATTTGATTTCACCCACTCTTCGTTAATCGATTTCAATAAAAATTGATATTACTCCACAAACTTTTGAGGTCGGCTTATTTTTATAAAAATGTAAGTTAACTTAATAATTATTAAATGAAAATACTACCCACTGGTTTGTTGTTATTATTGATACAAAGTATGAAACAATACAGAAAAATTATTTGATTTGACTGGACTAGAACCAGCATTTGTTACTTTAACTATATTAATGTTTATGTTAGTGATAATCCGAATATCTCTTGATATTGTATTTTACATGTATTGCTGCGACATTGATAACATCAAAGAAATGATATTCTATTCTGATAATTTACACATCAAGTTATTATTGAGGCGGCTATTTTAGCTCTGTATAAGTGCATACCAATGTATGTAATTATGTTATTAACATATTATTCCTTTTTTTATCTGTACATAGTACACCTAAATAATGAACTTTTAAAATAAATTACATATTACCAAAAAATAGTGAAGATCTTTCAACTAGATAACAATATATTTATTACACAGAATCTTAAGAATGAACTAAGTTCACACTTGTTCAATGATTTACTGATTGTCGGAAGAAGAAATACTGTGACATTAGCGTCATTACTCATTATTACTGTAGAACGATAATAAAGATTGTACGAGTATCTATACGATATCATTGCATCACAGTCATCAATTGGTTCGCATTTTAGCTTCTATATGCTTGCTTATCAGAGCGTAAGGACTAAATTGCCGTGTTCGAAAATTCAGTTGTGTTACCTATTACGATTATACATACATAGACTTGAGGTTTATAACATTTTCTAGTTTTTTAAGGACCTAAATAGGTTTCAATTATAATTATTAATACAAAAATAAACACACAAAATTCCTTCGCCCTGGCAGGACTCGAACCTGTGACTGTGCCAAACCGGGGCCTCCGCTCTACCAACAGAGCTACAAATCGAGACAGCAGGTCTTACGAATTTTTTGATATGTTTGTTATAGATATATATAGATCTTTGGTTTTTTCAGTTTTTTTTATGATACTAAGTGACGGGACGAACAAGTCGTGTGCCTGATGGTAAGCGACACGCCTGTCCATAACAGTTGCAGTGCCACTCAGAACTTGTAATCTCATAGATCTTTGAGGCATTGCGCCCGTCACCTTGAGACAAGTCTCACGTGCCTGTGATTGCAACAGCACCCTTATGTTTCCGAACCGGAACCGTAAAGCTCACATTACTGCTTGGTGGCAGAAATAGGTAAGGTGTTAGTACCTCCCTGGACGAACTCTTTCACAAGGAGCTCTACTGCTAGTAAAATATATCGCGGTCTTTATGTTAATAATTAACACAGTCTTTATATTAAAAGAAACTAGTGTAGTTATTTCATGCATCAATTTAAATTTTATCTCTTATTATTTATAGTATAGTCTTTTATTCTACAGAATTGCTTTTTTATCGTTTATTTTTGCTATTTCTTACGAAAAGTTAATATCCACTAAACTAAAATGTATTGTACTGACCCCATAGTCAAAATCGTTGGCATTAATGGTAAATCACCTCCTTCAGAAGGAACCACGGCTGTCAGATGGCGGGGAAATCGCAATGCTCCGAATATTCGGAATCTGAAGAAATGAAGAAACCCTATAATAAAGCTGCCAAGAGCAAATACGTGTTACGCAGAGCCAAGATCGACCATGTGTGCTGCATAGGGGCCAAGCTTGCCTCTTTTCCAACAAACAGCAAGTCCTTTTGGTCCCTGGCCAAAGCGGTCGACTAAAACTTTAGTAGCCACTCATTACCACCTCTGTTGAGGCCAGACGTCTCGCCGGTCCATACTGCGGAAGAGAAGGCGAATGTCTGCGCCTCACTCTTTCAGAGAGTTCGCGTCTGGATGCCGCAGGATACCTATCACCTACTTTACCTCAGGCTGGCTGCACTATGGCGCCAGTTCATATACGTCAAAAAGAAGTACTCAGAACTCTGCGAAGTCTAGACGCGCATAAAGCTAGCGGGCCAGATGGAATTCCAGCAATAGTCCTGCGTAACTGTGCGCCTGAGTTGTCTCCTATTCTCACACGCCTGTACCTCACTTGAGACTGGTGTAACTACATCCAGATCGTGAAAGCTTACTAATGTGCAACCAGTGCCTAAAACAGGAAGCAGAGCTGACTCTGTCAACTACAGACCTATTTCAGTCACTTCCATACTCTGCAAGCTATGGAACGGACTTTGAAGACAACGATCTCCTCAGTGATCGCCGGGTCGATCTACTGGGGATCTTCTTGTGTACGCCTTTCATTTATGGAGCAAGGCTATAGAAGGGCATGGCGAAGCTATTGCGGTTGCGAAGACAATTCTAAGACCTTGACAGGGTCTGGTACGCAAGCTTCCCTCTTATGGGCTTTCCACTGACCTTTGCAATTGGATTTCGGAATTCTTGAGTGAACGTTCGATTCGAGTGGTTTTAGAAGGCTACTCTTTCGGACATAGGGCCATGCCGGAGTTCGCAACCCTCCGCAACCCTCTTTCTGCTGCATATAAATAATGACATGTTGATTCCAGGTGCCTTTGGGAATGCTGATGACGGCACAGTTGTGGACAGATACTTGACCAATGCAAGGGTTAGTGGAGAAGAAATCCAGTCTTGTCGAGAGTCCATGGTTAGTCGTTTGAATCTGACACTTAAGGCAGTCTCTGACTGAGGCGACGCCAATCTTGTCAAATTTAATGCTATCAAAATGCAGGCATATCTTTTCTCCACTAAACGGAGTCCCTATCACCTGACTTCGACTTTTCGTGATATATCCATACCGATAGCCGACTGTCTTCACCTACTTGGAATGGACCTGTCGTCCAATCTGAACTTTGGCAGATACATTGAATCCATGGTCAAAAATGCAGCCAAGAAGCTTGGCATCCTTACCAAGGTGAGGCGTTACTTCACACTGGGACAGTTGCTTCAGCTGTACCAAGCACAACAGTACTTAATGCTGCTACTTATGGGATGGCTCTGCTAAATACCAACTGGCTACCTTGGATTCAATAGTATGCGTGGTAAGAGGCTTATAGGTGACTCGGAATTAGTAGAGGCGATGTTGCAGAGCCTTGAACACCGCTGTGGAGTTGTCAGCTTATCGGTATTCTACAGGATATGTCACGGAGAGAATGCGAAGTAATTGCATAATTTGATTTTGCCTTCCCCTTTCCATCATCGGGGGACTAGATGTGGGCTGGGGTTCCACCCCTATGTTGTGGATATTCCCAGAATTCGCACGAAGCGTTTCGCTGCCATATTTATTTGGCGAGCAGCTAGAGAGTAAAATTCCCTGCCTGCAGACTTGTTCCCTGAACACTATAACTTGGAACTTTTCAAGGGGAGAGTGAAAAGGCATTATATAGGTGTGCATGCTATATCCTCGACTTGATTGTCACTTTCCATGGAAAGATGTGAGATGTGAGATGGAGTTCAAATGCGCACTTAAAAAACAGGAAACATCACAGAATGTCTTGTGTTCAGTGCTTACACTTTACCATCCCCAAATTCCCAAATTTTACATTTTTTTAAATAAACTGACATAATGATCCAAGAACATAATGCTTTTACTCATTTTTTATCTAAAATACAAATTTTTAAGACAAAAATTTGCATTTTTCTTTTTCATAAAATACCGACAAAAACTTAATTAGTAATTTTAATATATTCTTAACCTCACTAAACCGAAAAGGCTTTGCGCCACTGCGTGCATCACCCTGACACATAAGTTGACATTTCCCTGTAATTTCACCAAAATTGTAGTGATCACAACAGTAAAAATTACTGGTTGAAGTGATGAATGGCTGCACAGATCTTAAATGAGCTTCTCTCATATTAATAGTAATAATAACCATCCATCCAACCAAGCCCTTGGTTCATCGCAGACCATATCTTTGCTCCTGGTCTACGTAGTTGTCAAAACAACTTTAATTAAAACCCTGGTCTCAAGACCCTGGCCAACTGTGCCATAGCAAGTCAACTCATATTTTTATACTATCACTGATGAGTCTAATCAATTATACCACATATCTTTCTATGATCTTTCCGCAGCCCACTCTTCACCTACTTTAGAGACAAAGTACATTTTGTTTTTCTCTCTTTTTGATAGTTTAGCTACATTATTAACAATTAACATTAATTGTTTTGTTACCATCAATTTATTAAAAAAAAAACCGTAACTTACCAACAATTATTATTTATTTCTTAAATTAATAATTTCAATACTCACTGAAAGAGACTATTGATGGGATAATACTAGCAAACATAACACACAAACAAACAATGTTTGGGACCTATATAAAAAAAAGACTTTTTTACTTATTTACAGTTAAATAATAAGAATAAAGTGTGTGGTAAAAAGTAAGTTACCTGAACCAGTTAACACTAGTAAAGTCTAACTTGAACATTTTCGGTGTCCCGTGGTTTGTGCAATACAAATTCAGGTGAAAGGTGGTTGAAGTTGTGCAGTTTCGTCACGATTTTAACAATAGCTTAGACTAGATAACTTTTAACACGGTAACCGAAAATGCAACACTATAATAAGTAACATAATCCATACCTTTTGAAGACAGTTCTTTTATTATGCAGCTGTGGTTCAGCAAAAACACAACATTTAAGTTTCTTCAACACATTTTTGTACATGTAAATTTAAGTTTTCATGTAAAAAAAATCAATATTTCAGTGATATTCAGGAAATAAACATTGAATTTCAGGCATATTTCAGGCCACCTCAAGTCGAGAGCTGTCAACGTCAGATTGACGTTTACCGTATAAGTTTTAGTGTGTTAGTGATGTCCTCGATCTAAATAACGGTAGTTCATTGTGAGTGAAATATTTAATTAGGCAAATTCTCCTGGCCGAGCAAAATGCTATGTATTTTAAATATGAAACACAAAATACTTTCATGAAATGTATTTCAAATACAAAACACAATACCATCACTTTTTAGTGATGATATTGTGTTTTGTATTTTAAATACAAACAAGAAAGTATGCAAAATATCAGCTACAAAAATACTTCATTATTACATATTTCAAATTGTAATTGCTACCTATTGTGCTGCATTTTTTGATTTTTTGTAAAACCACTTGCACTGCACTAATGGCCTTTTTATATTGTGTATAATAAACTATAATCTAAGGCTATAAGATTGCTCAAACGCCTTTATTTCCTGGCTATCTTATTTACGGTTGTTTAGTGCCATACACAGTTTCATATCATAAAATATTATTGCTTCACAGAATTCCACTGCAGACTTGCGACGACGAAGATATTGTAAAAATTATTGTTTTAGAATTTTTAAGAATCAGCGTTCAGTTCACAATCATTATAGTCTTGTCTAGAACGAAAAGAAATAAGTCACTCAATTTAATCAGTCCTTACATCACTACTTCGCAACAGACGTAGTTCGTGTTCGGATACATATTATCATAAATTCGGTATTTACTAATAGTTTTTAACTTTTTGTATTTATAATACTATTTGACGGGAAGAAGAGTCGTGGCTGGTGGTAAGCGACACGCCTATCTATAACAGTTGCAGTGCCACTCAGAGCTTTATATCGCAAAGATTTGAGGGGCACTGCCACGGCTCCCGTCACTCTGAGACATAAGTTGATAAGTCCCATGTGCTAGTAATTTCACCAGCACCCTTACTCTTCCTAAGCCGGAACGCAGTAATGCTCACATTACTACTTGGCGGCAGAAATAGTCAGGTGGCAGTACTTTTCCCTGGACGAATTCTTTCACAAGGAGCTTTAATGCTGCTAAACTACACATAGTAGTTGTGAAATGCAATAATAATTATTTATTATTTTATTATGCAAAATAATGATAGACCACTCTCTTTTTTATTTAAGTGTTTAATACACTAATCTAACGGGAAACTTAAGTATTTAAGTTAAAAGTTTGCTCGACATGTTTCGACCCAGTTCTTGGTCCTTAATCATGAGACTCCTGGGCGGTGACTCGACGGAAACTGCGGGCCAAACCCTGACAACCCGATCATACAGTACGAGTGCGGGTGCAGACGGCGCCGGCGGCGCGGCGGCGAGTTACTACCGACATTCACTCAACTGCCTCCGCTGGTCTGCCAAGCAGAGGCCCCGGGTTCGATATTCAGGCCGGGAGAAATATTTTTATGGCCTATATTTATTTCTCTCGTGAGTTTGGGTGTAATTTGTGGTTTTCTATGTGTGTCCATGGCACCCGAGACGCAGGGTTTTCCTAGTGCGGGGCGATAAGTGTGTGCGTTTTTTGTATATTTATTTATTTGCTATATTTTTATTAAAGTCATACGCAGGATTGCACACTTCACACTACACTAACAACGAAGTGACATTGTTGCACACTACACTAGTAACGACAACAGACAATACACCACCACAGTCGGCAAAAAGGTGACGGGTTAGCAATTGAGTCACTTTCGTTTAAACTAATTTTTACAAATGCCACTTACCTACTGTATTAGACGACTTTCTTTTCTAATTACAACGCAAGTCGTTTTATTATTATAATATTAACTGCCTCTGTGGCCGGACGGTTACCATGCCGGACTGCCATGCAGAGGTCCCAGGTTCGATTCCCGGGCCGGGAGAAATATTTGTATGGCCTACAGTTGAGTTTGGGAGTAATTTGTGTTGGTCTATGTGTGTGTCCATGGCACCCGTGACACAGGGTTTCCCTAGTGCGGGGCTATGTTGAGTGTGTGCGTTATTATTATTATTATCTCACTTAGCTGGTGAAAATGAAAGAGACTTATACTTGTTGGGTAAACAAAAAAAAAAGGTTTAGTAAATTGACTTTCAAAAACTAGTCGCTTATTGTCTGTATAAGAGACAAGGCTTTGAAGATTATATTTTTAAATTGTAAAATATTTAAATTTTGATTTTGTTTACAATAATTTCTGAAGTCGTGAAGTTGAATGTTTTATTATTATTTTCCAGGGCTACTTGTATAAAACCTTTCAAGAGCGTTTTTTAACATAAATATTATGCCTTTGCACGGCAAATAATCTAATTATTGACGTCTGTTTTGCCTTTTGAAAGGTAGATACATATATTCAACAATTATTGACATAGATTTCTAGGAAATTGTAGATTGATGATAGGTCTTTTTTTGATGCCGAATATTGTACAAAACTCAATTTTGATACAAATATTAGTTGTGGTTTTTTTTTTGTTCCAAGGGACTGCCTAGGCCCTACTACTTTGTGCTGACAAACTTTAATGTTTTTCTGAATAAAAGTAGTTTTTTCTGTTTATGTTTGTGATAATGATAATGCACAAATCACATTAATCCTGTGGAATCGGGGCATCTTAGGTCCGTAAATATTACTGGTGAAGATGGAATATTTTTTTACGTGTCATTCGTTCCTTTGCACAGCTCGATTTATAAGCATTTTTAGCATTGCCAACTCGCCACGTCCCGAAACATGTTTCAAGTTAATTTGCCAACATAGAAGGCTTCCACGTTATCCAGCGCGAAATATATCTTTCATCACACTTGCTCGTTAACAGTGTCTTGACATGAAGGGAAAGTGGACGGTAATGTCCTAAATTATGTCCACAGGTCTTTTTATTACATTATCGCCCTATGGACTTTTTACGTCTAGATTTAAAAAGTTTTTATGCTCGAAAAATCTGACGTATATTTCGAATAAACTTGAAGTATAAAAAAAAGAAACATTACAATTTATCTAAATTTATTTTGTGAACCAAATTCTGCAGTATTTTTGGAATTCTTTATATATGTATATTGCATTGTGGCTGTATGCGTCTGTCCTTTTATAACATTTTAGTTCGAGTTGTAATAATTATGGAAGAATAGCTGGCAATCTGTTTAAAAAAAAACGCATGTTTTGCAAAATCCTTTTAAGTTCTGTTGTGTAGCGACATTTATTCATACTAGAAATAAATTATCGATGTATCTATTTCCTCGCAAATGTGATGAAAAACATTGTATGCAGAATGGGCGGTAAAAATTGCAAATCTCGAGTCATCAAAGAACAGACTTTCGTTAGTAATTTCTTATTTACCGCCCATAATACACAATATACTATTCGGTTCCAGTGTCTCGTACTAATACCTATAGGTCATTTTTTTTCCAAGTTTCTCTATGTAAGTGCCGATGGTATAAATTAATAAATAATTCTTTTAGATAACTTTGCGATCGACCAAGATTTTTCTACGAACTACGCTCTAAACGCAACTGAGCGACACGTGTTGATGTTTACCTTTATCACACCTGTGTGAATATCCCCTAATATTTTTATTAGTGTAACAATGAATATTATGTTCGGCCTCTAGCCGAATACCGAGTCAGGAGCGTGACCTAGTAACCGAATATTCGGCCTGATAGACGCACGTATCGAAATTGGCACCAAAAATTACACTTTATAACTTCAGTTATGATAAATTGATATGAAAAGTTTTGTACCATGAAACAAAAAAGCTAAGTACCTATTTCCAAGTTAATTATTTAAATTTATGACGTAATGAAGAAAGTAACTGTATATTTTACTTCAATTTGATTAACTTTCAAAATTTAATTGTAATTTGATTTAATTACCTGGTTGATTTTGTTAGCGTAATTATTTAATTATGAGTAAACTTCATAACAAGTAGACAGTTTTCAATTGATGTATTACATTTTTGATCTTTCGGAAAAACAGCTTAGTTGTGTTATATTTCCTTTGATCTTTTATTTAAAGAAGGTACAAATTGGTCTTTAATAAACTTTTAATTTATTTCTGCGTTAATAAAATTTACGTGATAATTTATTGTGTTTTTTCTTATTTTGTTCTCCTGTTTTTAGTCATTCGGTATTTGAGCGAATAATAAAAGCAAAACCAAATAGGCCGCATACCGAATAGTAACCGAATACTCGTTGCAAGTTGCAACTCTACTTTTATACACTTTTTTATTATAATACTAAACTAGGTCTAGTTATGTATCTTATACATTTATTGCTTGTGATCTTTAATAGGGACAAAGATAATAATTTATTTATTACTTTCAAGATGTAATTTGCCAGAGACCTTTATTTACGTTATCTTTTACCGTAATAAGACTGATTAGGTTTAAGAAGACATGAGCTTATTACAATCAAGGTATTTGTGTCGTAGGGTTCCCTTCAAGAGGAGAGTAGGAATATTAATATCTTAGATAAGTTTCATTACAGTTCATTACCGAATTCATCATATTATATACACATTTATCAAAGTCAAAGTCAAGGTCAAAGATCATTTATTCCATAGGTAAAATAAATTTACACTTGAAAACGTCACATTTACATTACATTACATTAAGCTACTGCTCGTTCACTACGCGGACTTCCCTGAGAAGAACGAACAAGAAACTGTAGGGATTGCTCTTTTCAAATAAACTTAAATGCTATGGAATAAAATTTGAATCAAATTTGCGTAGATTCTGGAGCCGTGTCGTCTTTCCATACACCTTTATCTAACACGTACTTTATAAACTTAGGAAATGATAAACTTAATATATGCTCCGGAATCTTATTGTAAAAACGTATACAGTTCCCCATAAAAGAGTCGTTTACCAAGGTTAAATGAAATCGTGGTACCATGAGTTTGGATTTAGCTCTAAGGTTAATATTATGGACATCTTCTTTCTTATTGAAATTATGTACATTTTTAGGGGCATATAAAATATTTGAGTAAATGTACTGTGATGCCACAGTCATGATATCAGTCCTTAAA